TACATTTTCCTTTCACCCTGAGTTTTGGTGCACTTGCCTAGGTGAGGGCAACTATGGGGGTAATTTACTATAACCAGGGTGTGCAAACTCTGGATGAGCTCTGCACAGAAACCAATCAGCTTCTGGGTTTTATTGTAGAAGCTTAACTGAACAAGCTGAAGTTAGAAGTTGATTGACTGTCATGCATAGCTGAATCAGATTCTGAGTGTACCAGTTCAGTAAATCAACCCCAGTGTCGCATAACTATGTGATGGTGGCCTAATGTTGTCAACTGGCAACAGGAAATTCTGGTTTACAATAGATTCACAGAAATTATTTTTCTAGACATAAGACATGCTGCCAAACATACTGAAAAATAGACTTTGGTTTTTTACACTTTAAGGGGTCTATTTCTATATGTTTTCATACAAGATTTACACATCTTTCGCACATTTTGCTAAGTGGACTAAGTTGGAAAAAATGTGAAAGTTGTGTAAATCTTGCATGAAAACATATAGAAATAGACTCCTAAATGTTTATTTGTTAAACTGTATTTCAATGGTGAAAAATATAATAAAAAATGTAAAAACATAATGAAATACAATGGACCCAAAAGCATTATAGTTTCAGTTTTAATCAGCTCCTCTTTTCATCATATTTTGTTTTCTCTTGGCATACAGTAGGTCCAGAAGCAGACTTTTGCTTCCGTAGACTGCAGACTTTTGCTTCTGGGGTTAATACTTTTATATGAAATGATACTGATATAAATGTTACCTCGGGTTCTTTGTATGGCACTGAAACTGCGTAATCACCTTTTTTTTTAATATCAGGACTTTCCTCTGGCCTGCATTTAAAGCTAATTAGATAGTCTGGATTGAATAAAGGTCAGAAATCAAATTATTTCTAGACAGCAAACTACTGGAGCAAACAGGACATTTCTATAATCCAAAACACAAAAAGCATTGCAATCTAATAATTTAGGAAAGAAGGGCACATCTCTGACTACTTCCACACAGAGTAATTACCCAATTATGTCCCCCCCCCCCCCCAAAAAAAAAAAACTACAGATATGTACATAGGTTTATTGCGTGTTTACCCAACACTCTTCCCACTGTTGGGCAATGTAATTAGGATTTTGATTGATAAATATTTATAGACTAGATTGTAAGCTCGAAAGAGCAGGGCCCTCGATCCCCTCATGTTTTGCATTGTATTGGTATTGTTCTGCACATGTTCTGTCTCCCTTTGTAATGTACAGCGCTGAGCGAACTATTGGCGCTTTATAAATACTGTATAATAATAATAATAGAAGTGCTTGTTGCAGAAAAGGCCCCTTTCAGACGGGGTGGACCCGCCAGCAGATCCATTTGCTTAGTGGGGGAATCTCTCCGCTGATCTCCACTGAGAAAGCGGATAACAGCACAGCCTTCTTTTTCTTATGGGCAGTCGGATGGAAATGAGCCGCATGTCCGTTTCCACCCGACTGTCATTCGGTCCACCAGATGGATGGATGGGGAACAGATCCCCATCCATCTGTTTTTGATGTACAGGATCGGATCGTATGCTGGCGGGAGTCAGCAGACACTTGTCCGCTGACACCCGCTGGTCCATAGAGGTCTATGGATGGTCCGATCAGGTCCGCCTGAATAATTGACAGATGGACCCAATCAGACTGCCAGTGTGAATGGGGCAAAAAAGTACACCTTTTGGGCCCTTTACGCTTGTCCATTTTTCATTTGCCTGTGTCCTTTTCCATTTAGACAGATCTGAATGGATGCAAACGGATGTCGTCTGTTTATGTCCATTCTATTTATGACTGTTTTGGGGTAAGAAACATATTTTTTTGTATATACTTTCATTATTTAAAATTAATTTCTTTAACAAGTAAAAAAAAAAAAATGGATTCAAAAACTGCTGTAAACTGTGATGAACTAAACAGAACTGAACTGAAGTGCAAAGGTATGTAACATTATGTAACCTAAATGAGTATTCATCAACTTAAATTTTTTCTTAGCAAAAAACGGGATTAAACTGGTGATGCCCATGTGAAAAGAACCCTAAGGTTTAGTCCCTGTATCATATGGCCACTTGTATAGTAATAAGTGTTTTAGAGTGGTTGGAAATGCTGGTTTTAGGTACTTTTACCCCTGAACCTCAACAGGGTGGTTGTATTTGGCAAACTCATCTTAAAGCAGAACTTTACCAAACAGGGGAAGTTCCACTTGTTTACATCCTCCCATCCCCCCCCCCCCCCACCTTCTTTCACTGCCTCTTTTAGCACTTTTTGAGAGTGAGGGGGGAGTGGGTACTTGGTTTTGACATGTACCCGCACCCATTTCTGATCAGATATGCCGCAGCTATCTGAGCCGGAAGATTGTTCCCCTCCTTCTCCTGCAGCCTTCTGGGACACTTCACAGGTCCAAGAAGACTGCGGAACCATACACAAAGTGCATTCCCAGTATGAATTTGTCAGTGAAGTCACAAGGCTAAAGCTTGCAGGAGGAGTTCTCATTCTGCTATGACTGTCTTATAAGGCTGCATAACCCTTGACCCTCTGTCTGGACACTGCTGATTGATCCTGTGCTGATCACATGCACCCTCCAAAATAAATAAAAAAAAAAATATTCTACCAATACACACTAAACTGAGCATGTGTAGAATGATGTCTAGAGCTGCAGAACAGCATCAGCAGATAGATTGGGGACAGGTAGAAGAAGGGGAAAATCAGAGAAGATGGGATCAAACAACCTTTTTTAGACAATGCAGAGCATTACCCCATTAGGTTCTACAGTGAGTATAACAAGCATACTTTACTGCATATACAGATTGATTTTACTGTTGTAGATTTAGTAACACTTTAAGTTGGTCTTTAAAAGCATGAAAATACCAATTCGATGGAATGTTGAATATACTCCCAGTGTATCACGTACCTGGTAATGGAGGTCAATGGAGAGGGCTTCCCTTGTGGCTAAGTTCCGGACTCCCCTGAGAGTGGGACAGCGGGAGTCGGGCCCAAAGTTGCACAGGTCGCCTGTAGGAGTGCTGGTTGGTGGTCCACTCAGAAGCACAGCTGGTGCACGGAGATAGGTCTGCAGACGGGAGGTGCCTGTGCGTGGTATGCAAGCCCTTAGATGTTTACTGGGTAGTCGGTTCAAGCCAAGGTCAGGTACCAGGTGGGAATCAGAGCAGACGTTGTCAGATGGGATAGCCGAGGTCATACACAGAAGAGTGAGAGAGAGAGTATCCGTAAGCCTAGCCGAGGTCAGATGAGGGGTAAATCAGAGTAGATAGGTCCAGGAGCAAGCCAAGTTGGTATCAGGAGATCACAGGTCAAAATCACAGGAAACAGGAACAAGGTACGGGGATCTGGAGATCATCCAGCAACTTGAGGAAGTGATGAGCCTCCTTATAAAGGCTGTCTGGCACCAAACTGAGGCTGATGTGTGCTTCTGCGGCCATGCAGGGTACTGGCAGAAATGCCAGATCTGCCAGATCTTCTGCCATGGACAGGACCCTGACACAGTGGTACAATGTAGACACAAAACCATATAGAATAAAAATTCCACTTTATTACAGCATATTAAAAAATAAATTAAAACCATATAAAACATCAACATATTTCAATGATCATATTTAAAAGGTACATGTAGTAGCCATCTGGTATTGATATATATATTTTGACTTAGAGATAAAAGCAAAAAGGTTGACACGTTTTGCAGGAACCCTCGCTTTATTAGGACTTGAGAGCTCCAATGCACAGATGCTGAAACAAAAAGTATGTATATATATATATTACATGCATGTACTTTTAGGGTGTTCTAATACCCTCAGGAAAAGCACCCAACCACACATACCGTATATATATTGGATATAAAAAAGTCTACAAACCTCTGTTAAAATGTCAGGTTTCTGTGATGTAAACAAATGAGACAAAGATAAATAATTTCAGAATTGTTTCCACCTTTAATGTAACCTATAAATTGTATAACTCAGTTGAACAACAAACTGAAATATTTTAGGTGGAGGGAAATAAAAAAATAAAATAATATGGTTGCATAAGTGTGCACACTCTTAAACTAATACTGTATTTTTCGCTCCATAAGACGCACCTGACCATAAGACGCGCCTAGGTTTTAGAGGAGAAAAACAAGAAAAAAAATATTCCAAACCAATGGACTGCAGACATAGTACAGGAGATGACCAGAGACTGCGGACATAGTACAGGAGTGCTGTGGGAACCATCCTGTGCTCTGTTGATGACCAGAGACTGCGGACATAGTACAGGAGATGACCAGAGACTGCGGACACAGTACAGGAGATGACCAGAGACTGCGGACACAGTACAGGAGATGGCCAGAGACTGCGGACACAGTACAAGAGATGACCAGAGACTGCGAACACAGTACAGGAGATGGCCAGAGACTGCGGACACAGTACAGGGGATGACCACCAGACACTGCGGACACCGTACAGGAGATGACCAGAGACTGCGGAAACAGTACAGGAGATGGCCAGAGACTGCGGACACAGTAAAGGAGATGACCAGAGACTGCGGACACAGTACAGGAGATGACCAGAGACTGCGGACACAGTACAGGAGATGGCCAGAGACTGCGGACACAGTACAGGAGATGACCAGAGACTGCGGACATAGTACAGGAGATGACCAGAGAGTGCGGATACAGTACAGGAGATGACCAGAGACTGCGGACACAGTACAGGGGATGACGAGAGACTGCAGACACAGTACAGGAGATGACCAGAGACTGCGGACATAGTACAGGAGATGGCCAGAGACAGTGGACACAGTACAGGGAATGACGAGAGACTGCGGAGATAGTACAGGGAATGACCAAAGACTGCGGACACAGTACAGGGAATGACCAGAGGCTGTGGACATAGTACAGAAGACCAGAGACTGCAGACAGTGCAGGGGATGACCAGAGACTGCAGACAGTACAGGGGATGACCAGAGACTGCAGACAGTACAGGGGATGACCAGAGACTGCAGACATAGTACAGGAGATGACCAGAGACTGTGGACATAGTACAGGAGATGACCATTGACTGCAGACATAGTACAGGAGATGACCAGAGACTGCAGACATAGTACAGGAGATGACCAGAGACTGCAGATATAGTACAGGAGATGACCAGAGACTGCGGACAGAGTACAGGAGATGACCAGAGACTGCGGACATAGTACAGGAGATGACCAGAGACTGCGGACACAGTACAGGAGATGACCAGAGACTGCGGACACAGTACAGGAGATGGCCAGAGACTGCGGACACAGTACAGGAGATGACCAGAGACTGCGGACACAGTACAGGAGATGACCAGAGACTGCGGACACAGTACAGGAGATGACCAGAGACTGCGGACATAGTACAAGAGATGACCAGAGAGTGCGAACACAGTACAGGAGATGACCTGTAAAACCTTGCAAATTCTCTTGTACCCTTCTCCTGACTGATACCTTTTAACAATGAGATCCCTCTGATGCTTTAGAAGCTCTCTGCAGACCATGGCTTTTTGCTGTGGGATGTGACTAAGAAAATGTCAGCAAAGACCTACTAGAACAGCTGAACTTGTTTGGGGTTAATCAGAGGCTCTTTTAAATGATGGCAAGAGTGTACGGACTCCTATTTAACATGATTTTTAATGAGATTGCTTAATTCTGAACATAGCTACATCCCCAGTTATAAGAGGGTGTGCACACTTATGCAACCATATTATTTTAGTTTTGTTTATGTTTACTTCCCCTCCCCCCCCCCCCCCCCCCTGAAAGATTTGTTTGTTTTTCAATGAGTTGAACAGTTTATAGGTCACATTAAAGGTGGAAAAAGTTCTGAAATGATTTATCTTTGTCTCATTTTTTTACATCACAGAAACCTGACATTTTAACAGCGGTGTGTAGACTTGTTATATCTACTGTGTATATATATACACTGTCAAATTTTATTCCATGTGTAAAGAAGAAAAACCGGATGTGTAAATCCTCCCCTAAAAACATTAAGTAATGATAACAACCCTTCAGTAAAGTGTCCCCATTACACTGGGGACACCCACTTCCAGATTACAATTAGGACCTTCTTAATGTATATAAAAATAGTTCACAATTGGTCCTAAAATGATCCCAGGCAAGTATAGACAAATATATCCATAATATATACAGTATATATACTTCAATCAAGGTATCCTCAGTATAATGTTAAGAAAAAGGGCATGAGTACATTATTTAAAGGATTTGAAAGGATACATGAAACCTTTTTGTAGAATTCTAGGTGGGAATTTGTGTATTCCTAATCCTTCTCCCCTTAGATTGTTGCTGTTCCTTAGTATCTGTACGTGCCTCTGCTTGGGTGTTTTCTGGCTACATCTTGCCTAGACATGCTCATTTTCTCCTCCTTGGGGTCGCTGTAGATGTGTGGAAAAACCATCAGTATGGGTAATTTGATCTATGAATATAGTACATGTGTAAATACATGTTTTGTTTTTTTGTAAATTACATTATGTGATGTTAAGAGTATTTTAAAGATAGATGATGATTTGTATAGACTACAGTATATCTTATTATGCCTTCTGTATGTACAGTGTTTCCCCCTTTTTTTTTCAAACCCCTGAAGAAGCCAACCCGGCGAAACACATTGGAACAAACCATCTTAACACCTCCATATCCTCTACCATCTTTTGTAAACTATGTGACTTTGTCTTATATACCATATACACTATGTTGTCAAAAGTATTTGGACACCCCTCCAAATCATTGGATTCAGGTGTTCCAATCACCTCCATGGCCACAGATGTATAAAATCAAGCACCGAGGCATGCAGACTACTTCTACAAACATTTGTGAAAGAATGGGTCACTCTCAGGAGCTCAGTGACTTTAAGTGTGGTACCGTGATAGGGTGCTACCTGTGCAATAAGTCCATCCACAAAATGTCCTTGTTACTAAACATTCCACGGTCAACTCTTAGTGGTATTATAACAAAGTGGAAGAAAATAGGAACAACAGCAACTCAGCCATTAAGTGGTAGGCCACGTAAAATCGCAGTGTGCAGAAGTTGTCAACTGTCTGCAGAGTCAATAGCTAAAGTCCTCCAAAGCCACTTCGTGTGGCTTTCAGATTAGCACAACAACAGTGCATAGAGAACTTCATGGAATGGGTTTCCATGGCCGAGCAGCTGCCTCCAAGCCTTACATCACCCTGTGCAATGCAGAGGTGTAAAGCACGCTGCCACTGCTCTAGAGCAGTAGAGACGTGTTCTCTGGAATGGTGACTAATACTTTTATGTCTGGCAATCTGATGGACGTGTCTGGATTTGGTGTTGCCGGGAGAATGGTACTTGCCCAACTCCATTGTGCCAAGTGTTAATTTTGGTGGACGGGGATTATGGTGTGGTTGGACTGTTTTTCAGGGGTTGAACTCATAAGGCGTCACATTTGGACAATTTCATGCTCCCAACTTTGTGGGAACAGTTTAGAGATGGCCCCTTACTGTTCCAACATGACTGTGCACTAGAACACCTCTGAGATGAATTAGAGCGAACAATGCGAGTCAGGCCTTCTCGTCGGACTTCAGTGCCTGACCTCACAAATGCGCTTCTGGAAGAATGGTCAAATATTCCCATAGGCACACTCCTAAACCTTGTGGGCAACCTTCACAGAAGAGTAGAAGCTGTTACAGCTGCAAAGGGCAGGCCAACTCAATTTTGAACCCTACAAACTAATACTGGGATGGCAGGTATCCCAATACTTTTGACAATATAGTGTATATTAAGTCATAGCGGAGGTGTATTGGGGTTCACTGCACTAAAGGGTTGTTGTAATTTTTTTAGGGGAGGATTTTTGTTTACATGGAATAAAATTTGACAGTATGTATGTATGTGTATATATATATATATATATATATATATATATATATATATATATATACACACACTCGTCAACCAACTTCTGGCACCTGTGAACAGGTATTCCAGCCCAGGATGATTGGACTACATTCCACAGTTCTTCTCTATTTCTTGGTTTTGCCTCAGAAACTGCATTTTTGATGTCATCCCACAAGTTTTCTATTGGATTAAGATCCAGAGATTGGGCTGGCCACTCCGTAACGTCAATCTTGTTGGTCTGGAACCAAGATGTTGCACGTTTACTGGTGTGTTTGGGGTCATTGTCTTGTTGGAACACCCATTTCAAGGGCATTTCCTCTTCAGCATAAGGCAGCATGACCTCTTCAAGTATTCTGATGTATTCAAACTGATCCATGATCCCTGGTATGAGATAAATAGGCCCAACACTGTAGTATGAGAAACATCCCCATATCATGATGCTTGCACAACCATGCTTCACTGTCTTCACAGTGTACTGTGGCTTGAATTCAGTGTTTGGGGGTCGTCTAACAAACTGTCTCCGGCCACTAGACCCAAAAAGAACACTCTTACTTTCATCAGTCCACAAAATGTTGCGCCATTTCTCTTTAGGCCAGTCAATGTGCTCTTTGGCAAATCGTAACCTCTTCAGCACGTCTTTTTTTCAACAGTGGGACTTTGCGGGGGCTTCTTCCAGATAGCTTGGCTTCACATAGGCGTCTTCTAATTGTGACAGTACTCACAGGTAACTTTAGACCTTCTTTCATCTTCCTGGAGCTGATTGTTGGCTGAGTCCTTGCCATTTTGGCTATTCTTCTATCCATTCAAATGGTAGTTTTTCGCTTTCTTCCACGTCTTTCAGGTTTTGGTTGCTATTTTAAAGCATTTGCGATCATTTTAGCTCAGCAGCCTATCATTTTCTGCACTTCTTTATATGTTTTCCCCTCTCCAATCAACTTTTTAATCAAGGTACGCTGTTCTTCTGAACAATGTCTGGAACGACCCATTTTCCTCAGAATTTCAGAGAGAAATGCACTGTAACCAGCATGTATAACATTTGCTGCCTTCCTTCCATAAATAAGGGCAATAATTGCCACCTGTTTTTCAAAGAATGAATGACCTCACTAATAGAACTCCACACTGCTATTATTTTGAACATGCCCCTTTCAATTAGTGATTCATTTACACAGAATCAGAGGCATGCATGTCATGACTGTTGGGTCTGTTGGATTTCTATTACTCTACTACACCTGCTAGTAAATTATTTGCCATGTAGAAATATAATTTCTACCAAAAACAGTGATTGATCAGGTTAGTGATGTCTGACTGCTATTATTTTGAACACAACTGTATGTGTGTTTGAGTGCTTTTCCTGAGGGTATTAGTGCACCCTGAAAATCCCACATACTTCATTTCTTTTTTGTCTCACTTAAAGGGGTGTGGTGTTGATGGATGGGCTATACCAGTTTCTAATTGTACCACTAGTATATTCAAAGTCCCATTGAATTGGTATTTAGGGATGATACTCCAAGTGGCATGAGTAATTAACATGTTGCCCTTATATATAGTTCTCTTTAAAAAAAAATACCTCATCAGTGATTCCTTGCAAAAATTATAAATAACCCTTGGTTATAGTATATACTTCTCACTTGTAACTTCTACTATTATATTTTAAGTGTCAGCCACTTCTCTGTACTTTCTCATTTGTGAATGGGTTCACATAATAAAAGCCTTCTTTAACTGGGTAAGAGGTGTGGAATCATAGATCCAAGGGTCAAGCATCGGAATGGTGGAAGTATAGTGCTCAATAAAAATTTAAATAATGAGATATTTTAACAAAGTGGCATACACCTTATTGGGCTCCAACCTTTATAGGTCAGCACTTTTTAAAAGAGCTGCAATTCCTGGAGTTCTTCTTTAATACATACAGTGGGGAAAATAATTATTTGATCCCCTGCAGATTTTGTAAGTTTGCCCATTTACAAAGAAATGAAGAGTCTATAATTTTTATCATAGGTGTATTTTAAATAATAGAGATAATATAAACCAAAAATACAAAAAAAACCATGATACAAATGCAATAAACTGAGTTGCAGTTCAGTGAGTAAAATAAGCATTTGATCCCATACCAATCAACAATTCTGGCTCCCGCAGACTGGCTATTTGCTCATATGGTATACAGGTTAGTATCCTGTCAATTTAAGAAGGTGCTCCTAACAACAACTCGTTATGTGTATAAAAGACACCTGTCCACATAATCTCTTTCTTGGGCACCACCATGAGCCAGAACAAAGAGCTGTCAAGGGACATCAGAAACAAGATTGTAGATCTGCACAAGGTTGAAAAGGGCTACAAGACCATCATCAAGAAGGAAATAACTGCTGGAGCGATTATTCGCAAATGGAAGAAATACAAAATAACCATCAATTGTCCTTGGTGGTTGGTAACACAGTATGGCACCATGAACTGAAATCCTGCAGTGCCCACAAGGTTCCCCTCCTCAAGAAGGCACATGTACAGGCCCGTTTGAAGTTTGCCAATGAACATCTAAATAATTCAGAGAAGAATTGGCAGAAAGTGCTGTGGTCAGATGAGACAAAAATGGAGCTCTTTGACATTAACTTGACTCACCGTGTTTGGAGGAAGAAAAATGCTGACTATGACCCTCTGCTAATGTACAGGCTGACTTTGCTGCATTGAGGGGCCAATGGACGTGGCCATGCATTGTAAAATCTTGG